TCTTTCCTTTCCATATAAAGATAACTTGAGCCCTATTGTTCTGGCAGAGATAAAAGAGCAGTGTAGACAGAGTCCTTGCCTCCAGTGGCATCTAAGCAACCAGAGGACAGAGAAGTGACCTCCTGAGAGCAAGGGCCCATCACAAGGAGCTGTCAGTCCCTGGGCACGGCAGGGCTGTGTCCTCATTGCTGCAGAGCCCCCACCACTGCACCATAATCCCATCACAGGAAGAAGGGCAGATTTTCTGGGGACATGGTCACCTGAGGCACCTCTGTCTTGTGATGACGTGAATGATCAACCAAGACTGACTAAATCGACACCTTTCACTCTTGAAGATTTTTTTGCTGAAGGATGAACTTTTTTTTTTAACCTTTATTTTATTTATTTATTTTTACATGGTGCTGAGGATCGAACCTGGGGCCTCGCACATGCTAGGCAAGCGCTCTACCACTGAGCCACAACCTCAGCCCCAAGGATGAACTTTTCATCAGATTTAAACCAGGGATGAGGTACGCAGGCCTAAAAAGATGGGGTCACCACATGCAGGGGAAACAACTTCAGAGTCTTCTATTTGGAAATCTCAGTTTTCCCCATTGTAATACTTTATGCATCTAAAAATTGTAACTGCAATGATGAAATAATGTTATGTTTTGACATGAGCCAAAATAAAAACAAGCCTCATGCTTCTAAAATGCTGAGCACGTTAATCAGAACCTTACAAAGGCTTGGGTGCTTCTTGAGGAAATGAAAAGTGCAAATTAAAAATGTCCACTTAGTTGTTGCACAATTAAGCCTCAACAGCTGGCCTGCTATGCCGACATAGGGCTCTGCAGTGTTGGTAATGGGTGACAGCATTGGTAATGGGTCATTGGGTCAGAGTGAGGCTCACACACGCAGCTGTCAGGTGAAGAGCCCTCTCCTTTGCATTTCATTCTGAGGCTGGTAGTGATTTCCCTTCTGCCCAACAGTGGGACAGACCTGCACATGACCACCTACAACCAAATGTTCTCTGCAGTCTGGGCCCAGGGGCCACAGAGGCTCTTTTGAATCCCACTGGGCTACAGCCCTCTAGTGGAGTCCTATTGGTCTTCACCACCTCCTCTGGTCTCTACAGAAATCCCAGGCTGTGACATCCCAGTGGCAAATGTGGGGAGAAGCCTGGGGCGGAGGTGCCTGGGTGGGGCAGCCCAATGTGGGGGAGCGACACCCCATCCCAGGACCTAGACCTGTGCTGGCAAAGACGCAGTCAAGGTAAAATAATAACCACTGTGGCACTGGCAGTGGCAGCGTGCCAGCACTGTGCATGCTGACACCTGTGAGCTTTTCATTGTTTAATGTCACACACACACACACACACACACACACGACCCCTAACTGCTGCACATTTCTGGTGAGATGCCACTTTCCTTTAAGGCTCCTTAAAATCCAGCTCTTAGCAGATGGGGGAGGAGAAGAACCAGCCCTGCATTGAGGGAAGCAGTCAGGGACTTCCCAGTGTAGGGGACACTTTAAAAATTGTGCCATTCACAACAGCAGTATTAGACTTTCAAAATCTTCTAACCAAAATAAGTTGCATGACTCACAGACCAAGCCCAGCGATCCTGTGAACAGCTGTCCTCAAGCCCACAAGTCAGGTGTGATAACCAGCACCGACTTGGGAGTTCATTGGGAACAGATGCTGCCACTCAACCTGGCCAATCTCAGACAGGGAAAGACCCCAGGCTGATGCCCAATGGGCCATCTCTGCACCTCATCTCAGCCTTCTGTCCCAAAAGGCTGCATGGTCTAGGAGCCTCTCCTGGTTGCAAGGGTGGCAAATTGCCTTGGAAGGTCAAACTCTGTTATCTTATCTAAGGTTTTCCTGTAAACCACTGTAACATTGTTACAAAATTCCTCATCACAGGACCACAGGTTCTCCCCATAGCAGCTGAAGCTTGGCCCTCATACCCCAGTGCTGGTCCTGAGCACTCCCTTCCTTGAGAACCTCAGTTAACTCCCATAGCTCTTTTCTGCAAGCCCCATATGACGTGTTCGTACCATGGAGCACAATGTTCCACAGGACTCAGGTGCCCTGTGGCGCAGCCTGGGACATTCTCTGCTCAGTTGTACAGGCCCCAGAGCTTACGTCAATCATTCACACACAAGCTCTTTTGTGATAGGCCCTAGTCAGTGCCTTGGGAACTCGCTGTGCCAGCTCCAGCCTCTTTTTCCCCTGAGGGATATCAGCACATAGGCCACTGTGGTTCTGCTTTCTCAAATGTATCCATTGCTTGTGTCTTCAACTCACAGTTATTTTCTTCATTGTATTTTATGGGCAACCTGTAAGTAGAAAGCCTGGGAGGGATGATGGTGCAGTATCATTCAGCATCCTAGCAGCTCAAAGGGTCACTGAAGAGACCTAAGCCACTGCTATCTAGAAAGCCAGTATGGGATGAGGAGGCCAGGAGCATGGGAAGCCTCAGGGTCCTGCAGAAAGAAGCTCTTATCAGTGCAGGCATGGAGAAGTGGGGCTGTGAGCTCAAAGCAGCAGCTTTGCAGAGCTGGAGGGGCAGAATACCCTGTGGAAGGATCCAGCAGGACACCCACTCCCGCCACCTCCCCAGGGACCCAGCCAGCAGGAAGCAAAGGACCAGGCAATCAAGGGAAAGAGGTGGGCCATGCCAATAGGGCAAGAAGGGTGACAGAAATAGCAAGGAAGCAGCAAGACAGACCGTGTGCTGTAGCTCTTCATCGCCATGTCCCCTCTGTGCTGAAGCATCTGTACCGTACTGGCCAGTGGTCTTCCTCCATCAAAGGACAGATCTGGGGTCAGGAGTCCTGAACCAGAAGGTGACCTGCTCACAGCACTGTGGCTTTTGAAACTAAACCATGATATGTCACTCTTTCCTGAATGTGCTATTCCTAAAACAGTATTTTCCTGTCACTATCGACAAATATTAAAGGAGAATCTAGTAAGTACGAGTTCCTGCTCCTCTGCACACTGATGGGCTCAGAGAGGCTATTGATATAAAAAAAAAAAAAAAAAAAGAAAGAAAAAGAAAAAAAAAGCAGAGCCCATGGTTCCAGGAGAACCCAGACCCTATGCCTAGAGTGAGAGGCTCAAGTCCCATCTGCTCTGGAGGGTGTGAGCTCCACTTGTGATGGACCCCAGGCCACAGGCTCAAGTCCCATCTTCCCTGGAGGGTATGAACTCTACTCAGGTTGGACCCCAGTCTACAGGCTCAAGTCCCATCTAACCTGGAGGGTATGAGCTCCATTCAGGCAGGACACCAGGCCACAGGCTCAAGTCCCATCTGCCCCGGAGGGTGTGAGCTCCACTCATGCTGGTCCTCAAGATGCACAGCTGCTATGTCTCTGTAGTCCCTGAGCACTGCTCCGGGGGAGGCAGGGGACATACACCCCCAAGGCAGCAGCTGTCTCCTAGGGCATCTGCACAGGGCAGTGTTGCCTTGGCTTTACTCGAAGGCCGCTGCTCCACCTGCGTCCTGTTTCTAGGCAGCTCTCCCAGTGCTCTTCCCTGAGAGGCTTTTCCGTATCTGGATCTGAATCATGTTTCCATATCTGGATCTTGTTACACATCTGGACACATCCATAACCTGAACACACTGTTGCCTGCGGGTCCTTGGAAGCAAACGTTTGCTTAAAGCCATTCCATGACTGTATCTTAGAAAGTCATGTAAAATGTCAACAGAAATAACCCAAGAATGCGCTATGTCCAATATTCCATGTTAAACTACATGCTTTATGATTCTGAAATATGAATTCTTCAGCTCAAGGTAATTTGTGTGATCTTGTGTTAGATGGGGACTTCCCAGCCCTGTGTTCCTTAAAGCTCTCCCGCCCACGGGGTCAAGGCCAGGGGCTGCTGAGGCTTGGCCAGCGTGGTTGAGGGCCTGCCTGGGTTGAAGAGCTGACTGAGACTGCATGAGTAGGAGACAAGCCTGGATCCCAGAGAGCCCAGACAGCCAGGGAAAGGGAGGAACTCCATCCCTAGAAGGCACAGGCCTCCTGACAGCCCTTGCACAGAGCAGGGGTGCTCCACAGAGGGGCACGGGTTCTGTGCTATTTTTGGTTTTACTTTTTCCCCATATTTCTTACTGCTGCATTATAGTTGTTTACAATGGTGGGATTTGTTGTCACATGTTTGTAATGCACACAAGGCAGGGAGAGGACCCAGGCAGAAAGGGAGATCCACCCAGATCTAGTCAGCTGGGGATCAGGTCTGGAGGTTCAGATTAGGGGTCAAGGGAGTGTGTGGCCGAGCAGGGACCAGCCAGCCTGCGACTGACCTCAGGACCCCACATGTCCTTCCCAAGGCTTGTCCCCAGCCCTGAGATTCTGAAACAAAGCCACCAAGAAGTCCACTCATGCGGGTGGCTGGAGTGCACTCTTGGTGGCCACGTCTGGGTTTAGGTCACTGGGCCACCATGGCCTGTGCACAGCTCTCCCAGCTTCCCAACTGGCCTGAGCTCTCATTTAAGAATTTGAGGAGCCCAGGCACAGTGGGAAGGAGAAGGACAGGAGGAAAGGCAGGCGGGGAGACTCTTGTGTTCCAGGTGATCTTGTAGGTGAAAGTTCTGTATCCCCACTGACCAGCATGGACCAGAGCTTTGATAAATGTATGCCTGCACCGTCCCCAAGGGCATCAGTCTTCTGGCTTCCAGCCCCTTCCACTTAGCTCAGAGCTCAAACACCTACCTGCACCTACTTGCCTGGTGAAGGGGACAGAGCTGTGCCCATGAGAGGGTCATGGCCCTCAGTCCACCCCACACTATGTGTTGTTGTAGCCTGGATTCCCACTGAGACATACAGCTCAGTGTGCCAGGCATAGGCAAAGGTGCTTGTCATTAGATGGAGCCTCCAGAACCCCTAGGCCTCACATTGCACAGGTGTGATGGCAGAGGGGACATACTCCCTAAAAGTCAGGATGCTTCCCACCCATTTTCACCCAGGTGTGGCTGAGTCTATTCCCTGCAGTAGAAAAGGCAGACATGACATCCTCAGGTCAGAATTTATTTCACACCACCTCATTTACAACACGTTCAAGTACAAGTCTGCCAGTGTCCCTGATCCCTGGAGAAGGAGGGCACAGAGTGGCCAGGCACAAGGTGGGCCTGTCTGGAGAAGACCTGCACCCACTTTGGCTTGGGGTTCCTGGGTGGTCCTTCCTAAGGCTGCCAAGCACAGAATATGTTATAAAAGGCCTCCTTATGTGCTCATGGTGGGAAGAGATGACAGGTCTGGGGCTGGGTACAGGGTTAGGCCAGGATGCCATCCTGGACTGTGGGGACAGGCTGAAGAGATGCTCTCCAGCACACGTCCAGAACCCTCTCTGCAAACCAAGCTGCTCCTCAGCCTGAGGCTCTGAAGTAGACTCTGTATTAACTCCAGCACATGCTTTAAAAAATGCTCAGCCTAAACCCCATTTCACAGACACACAGGACAACCTCGAGCACAGCTGTACCCACACTCTGACCTGTGCAGCAGCCTGCTCAACCCTGCTGCACTGAAGGTCCAGGCATAGAGCCCTGACCACACTGGCACCATGGGCATCCTCTGCTCCCCACTTCCATTTGGGTGCAAGGGGTCCAGTCCTGATGCTCACTGTCCGCTGCACTCACTTCCTGTTTAACGTCACCCACCAGCTCAGGGCTCAGCCCTGCCCACCCGGCACCAGGGCTGCAGAGTGCTGGGCAGCACAGAGGCTGCAACAGGTGTCAGCCCCAGCACCTCAGTGAAGCAACTTCGTTTGCTCAGGTTGGAACAAAATGCTTCAGGAAACTATGACGATGCCAACGTCAACGTGTTGAAAAATCAATAGTAAAGTCTATGCATTTAGTGGTTTAAAGATTAACCTTTGTTAAACAAAGAAATTCTTTCATCTCACTAGCAGGAATAAGGAAGCCCCTAACCTAAAGTATGGAATGACCCTTCACTGTTTTCTATAGAAAAATACAAACTAGATTTTTTTTTTTAAAAACATAAAAAAGAACACAGAGCACCAGGACTGTCACATTGGGTTCTCAGGAGGTATCCCCAGCTGCCTCCTGAAGTGGTCTGGGGTTGCCTTGTGCCAGGATTTGGGCCTGGCTGCCTGTGGCCTCTCAGACCACGCTGCTGCAGTATTAGAGGATGCTTGCCTTCAGGAGGGTGGGCTTTAAGATCCCCTGAAGAACATATGCATGTGTGGCGCCTGTCATCCCCAGCCAGGAAGTGACCAAGTGGTCCTGTACAGACCTGGCCCCCTCGGGCTGGAAGCCACTGGACACCTGGCTGGTTGTTCTAGCAGCTCTCAAGAGACCTTCTCCTTAGTTTTGTTTTAAAGTGGTCTCAAGCTTGTTTACATTAAGATACACTTAAAATCACCCCAAGGGTATGATACAGTATCTGTTCACAGAAGCAGAGACAAGGGTCCCGAGTCACCTAATCTGCTTCCCACTAACATTTAAAGTCTGAACCCTCAACAAACATAGCTGCCTGCACATGTGTATGCACAGAGAAGGACCTAGGAAAGAAGGATCACTGGGTCCCACAGAATCTGCACTGGCCTTTCAGGGGTCTGCTTTCCTGCAGAGGGTGGTGACAGTGTGGAAGCTAAGACCCTCTGCTTGGTTGCCACACTGGATGGTGTGGTGCGAGGCCCGTCCTGAGGGCCCGGAGCACCACTGTGACCTCCGGCCATTGATCCCTGGGGGAGATGGGCACTGGCCCCCATGGCTGCTCAGGGCATTCGGTGGTGCGTGCTAGGCATGGGCAAGACTGGCCTGCGCATCTGAAACACCATGCACACTGTCCTTCCGTCTATACTGTGCTGGTTCTTTAAAATCTCAAGCAGCTGAGCATCACTCAATGGCCAGAGATGGCTTGAGATGTTGTGGCAGAGGTGCCCATTATTTCCCAGATCTTTCCTCTTATTGAAAGCAGTGTTCACTTGGTCTCCGGAAGCACTGTTCCCACCAGGGCTGACATGCGGTGAAGCCCAGGCCCTGGCAGCACCCCCCATCCCCAAGAGGGGCGCAGCCATCGTCCCTGTCCATCCTGCTGACACCGTGAAATAGCAAACTCTTGATCCTGACAGCAGACTTGAGCCTTTTTCATATCAGACATAAATTAATCCAGAGGCTGAGAGCTCTAAACTTCCAGTTACAGAACATTCTTAAATTACAACTTCCTTAACTTACTTATCTCACATCAGAAGTAAACAGACAGGAAACTAAAGCCAGGGCAGAGGATGGGCCACCTGGGGGCTCTGAAATGAGTCGTCAGGCATGGGCTTGGTCGCGTGGCTGCCTCAGGCCAGGCAGCAGGACTTCCTCCACCAGGACCTGGACAAGTCCCTCACTTTGTCCGGAGTCCTGCTCTTACACTTCCTGGGCTGCTGCTGGGAGTCTGCATGCTGGATCCCAGCCATGATGGCGGCATCAAAGACCTCCTTGAGGTTTTTCTGAGTCAAGGCCGAGCATTCCACATAGGAGGCGGCTTTGATTTCCTCTGCACACAGCTTGGCTGCCTCCTCAGGCACAGGCTTCTCCCTGCCTTTGTCCAGCTCAATGAGCACTTTGACATCTTCTCTGAGGTCTGACTGTGTCCCCACCAGGATGATGGGCACTTTGGGGCAGTGGCACCGGATCTCAGGCACCCACTTCTCGTTGACATTCTGGAAAGAGGTGGGGCTCACCACGCTGAAGCAGAGCAGGAAGATGTCAGCATTGGTGTAGCACAGGGGTCTCAGCTTGTCAAACTCATCCTGCAACCAAGCACACACTGGTCACCCTGGTTAGCTCTTGCCAGCAGAAGGCCCTCTTAACCTGCTTCCTAGAAGGCCTGGCTGTACCAGGAAGCCCATGGTCCCCCCAGGAAGAGCCAGCATCCAAAACTGCTTCACTGCCTGTCCCAGACACAGGCACAGCAGCGTCCACCCCAGGCCAACAAGGCCCTAGAGCCCATGGCCCGAGGCCCCCAGCGCTGTGATCACCCTGCTGAGCACATGGGAAGGTGCTTGAGCAGTGGGTCTGGAGACTGCTTTTATCTGGCCTTCAGACCAGAGTGACCCAGACTTACTATCACCTCTGGGGACTAACCATTCTTCTGAAAGTCAGAGTGTGCCTGCACTAACCCCAGACCCCACCTGATCCTGCAAGACGTCTGTTGGCACAGCCCCCTCCTCAAGACCCCAGCCCTTCCCTCCCCATGACAGGGTGAACCATGCTGTCACCCACCTGCCTGTCACCCACAGCACAAAGCATTGTTTCAGACCCAGATCAAGCCAGAGCAGCGCTGGGGACCCTGTGAGGTCTCTGGCACCAGCAATCAGGGCACTCTGTCCCTTGGTGTCCCTCACAGACACTGGTCATCATGCTCACATTCTGGCTGTAGACCCTCCCTCCCTTCCTCCTTTTCTCTTAAACTTCTTTGCTCCTGCATTGACCTCTGACAGCACCAGGGGCCTCCAGGCACAGGGCTGGGACAGATGAGCCAGAGAACGGGCACCCCCTGCACAATGAAGACAGCTGGGCCAAATGTGGGAGTGGACCAGCAGTGGGTGCCCACATGCGTGGATATTCCTTTACAATCACCACTAGTGGCCACACACCAGACACCTCCTACAACCAGGCCTAGCTGCGAGGGCTGGGCTGTAGACAGCATGACGGGTATGCCAGTCAGTACCTCCTCCAGTCGGTCTCCCCAGAGCCTGGCAGCACCACGGCCAACCACCACCGAGAGCTCTCTCCTCCCCTAGGAGTATCCTGCACCTCTTGTTCATGAGTAAGACATACACCTGTGGACACTGCCTCCGGCATGACATCAAGAAAACACCAGGCACACCCAGGTCTCAGAACCACTGGCATTCCCTCACTAGCCCCATACAGTGTGCCACTCTTTGCCAGGCCTTCCTCTGCATGGAGGACTCCTGTGATGCCTCCTGCCCTGCACTTCCTCCCTCTGAGGCCCCGAGTCTCCACCTGGGGAAACAGCCAACCAGCCACACAACAGGAATGAGCACAGCCTCTGCTCACAGGCACTGCAGATGGACCCTGAGACAGGACTCACACCTTTTAGTGCCAATCCTGGGCTGCAAGAATCAATGCAGAAACCCAACCAGGAGGTTCAGCAATGAAGACCTCTGCAAGAGCAGCTCCACCTGCCCTCAGGAGCCTGCAGTAGGCCTGTAGTGTAGATGCCTCACAGAACTTGCTTTGGGGTGGGATGGCAGATACGGGCCAAGACCCACTGGTCAGGCTGATGTGCTACTTTGTTTTGTTAGTATGAAGCTTTTCCCAAGTGCCTCAGGGGTCAAAGGCTGAAGAATTCTGGGCTGTGGGAGCAGACCCCTCTCCTTCAGTGATCCTCCCTTCTTGCATGCATGGCCGTCTGTCCACCTTCACCCTAGCTGTGCCTGAGACTGTGAGTCAGGCATTCAGAGCTGCATCTGTCATGTGTGGAGATCCACAGGCACCACAAGTGCCTTCCTCACTGACTGCCTCCTGCAGTAGCAGCACCCTTGCTCACAGGCCATTGGGGTCAGTGGCTCACAGGCCACAGGGGTCAGTCGCTCACACTCCTGCCCAGAGGAAGGAAAGTTCCTTGGTTGGGCCACAGAGAGCCTGGCAAGTGTCACAGCAAGCCCTCAGACAGTAGCTGGCCAGATAGGACAATGAGGGTAGAAAAGGATGACCACCTCTGACCAGTCCTACTACCATCATGACACCCCCTGACTGGCACCTTGGAGCAGACCTGACCTTGGCCAGCAACATGCACTTCTCTTATGGAGCTCTGCAGCTGGCTTTCTGTGGGTCTTTGGAGTACAGCAATTCCCAGCAAATGACATGGGACACAGGAGGACTATCTACAAACAAAGCCACCAACTTGGCACTGAGACCTCTTCCTGAATTATAAGCATCCTTTGTGAATGTGTTTCTAAAATGGTTCTTGTGCCCTCCTGACTTTTAAAGAAAAACTACGAAGGAAAATGCCAACTCCTTCTCCACAATTCAGTCCTCTTTAAAATGTTTTCTGGGTGAAAACACTACTCCTGTTTCAAGAGCCTGCCTGGAGCTTTCCACCAGGCCCACCACCTGCCCAGCAGAGGCCTTCCCCTGTGGTGCTCCTTTCCTTGGCGAGCTCCCAGACACCAGCTCCTCTTCCCAGGAACTTCAGAGCTGTGGAGGGCAGGCCCATGGCTAAGCTGCACACCTGGGGCCCAGCACTCCGCCCACCATCTGCTCGGAGCCATGTGGACTCTGCAAGGCACTGTGTATGTGCATGGCCAGGCATGAGTGCCCAGCTCAGCACTGTCTCCTGGGGAGAGCAGCCTTCCCAGGGAGCCTGGTGGTAGGCAGGGATGCTGTGGGGCAGGAGCCTGGGGTCTGTTCCTGGGGACGCCTTGTGTCTTCCAACATTCTGTCCTGTTCCCAGGCTGCTGCTCCACAGGAGCCTATGGATCCTGGGCCACTCTTCAGCCAACCTTAACGATGGGAAAAACCAGGCCCCTCAGCTTACAAAGAAATGCCTCCCATGGCATTCAGAAAGAGCAAGTGCAGAAGAGACTGCGCTGACTTTCTGGTCCCACAGCAAAGATGTAGGGCCATGTTGGGGTCTCCCTCCCTACAAAGGATATGAGATGTCTCAGGCTGGGCTTTAACTTGCTGCTGTTCTGGGAGGACCACAGCTGCCCAGATTCATGTGACCTCAATGTCTGTACAATAAAATCTGCCCTTACCCTGAACTGCTGTTCCAGAGTGGGTGAGCAGCTTGGGAGCCCTGTCTTGGATGTGGCACTGTGACCCTGTAAAGCCAGCTCGCTCATAAGCCTGATATCCTGGGATGGCATCTCAGCAGAGCACACTTCTACCTGCCCGTGGAGCAGCCCCAGCATTGGGCCTGACTCCTTACCTACTGGAGAGACAAGTCCAACAACAGCCACCCAGCAAGCTCAGCACAGGTGCTCACAGGGCACGTGTGAGCTTGGGGACTTGAGCAACTAGGGGGGTGAGGTGGGGTGACCAGGTGGAAACTTCTCCAGGGAACACCATGGGGACCCATGCTGTTCCTTCATCACTGCCTGGCTGTTTCCCAACACCCAGACTCTGGACAAGAGTCCATGCCCTGGTCTGGAAAGAGCAAGGCACTGCTCATGCCTCTCTCCAGCTCAGGACTGCCCTGGCCACTGCTTCTCTGCTCCAGGGCTGGGGCTGATCCCGGAGAATCAACTGTAGCTACAGAAGCAGATCCCTTACTGGTGCATGTTCCACCTTTTCTTGAGAAAATTTCTTAAATATCTGGCTCTCTGGTCTTTAATATCACCAAAGCATCACAGCATGTTTCAATAAAACTAGAAAGCAAGGGATAACAGAAATTCCTGTGAGATAAGGGCTATTTCTGCCCAGGGTCCCCTGCTGGCCAGAATGAAGGCAGCCAAACCCTGTTTTGCTAGTTCCAGAGGTGGCCTCTTCTGCTTCCTCCCACCACCCTCCAAAGGGGCCACAGCAGGGCAGGGCTTGCTCCACCAGGCTTCGCACAACCCAGTTACCAAGGGAATTGTTTGGAAATACAGTCAAAGGTCATCTGGAAGCCTTTACAAGGCTGCTTCCTCTCCAGCACTGAGTGGTAACATGATACTGACCTGTCCTGCTGTGTCACAGAGCTGGAGTCTCACAGGCCGCCCGTCCACTGACACCACAGCTTGAAAACAAGACGAGATGATTATCAGGAAGTTTCTCAGCCCCAAACCCTCTGCTTCCAAACCCCTCTGCTCCAGTTCTGGGTCCTCCCAGTCCTCCCATGAACTAAGTAAAACAAGGAGGCCCATGGAGCATTCTCCTACACAAACCCCAATGCCAGGAGCCAGGCAGCAGACCCAGAGTCCCTGGTGGCTCCTCTGAAGGGCCTGTGCTTTTCTCACAGCCCTTGAAGATTTATTTTCCTGTCACACTTGTTACAAAGACCTAAAAGCAACACAGAGGGCTAAGTGGGAAACAGTTCTGCTGTTTTACATCAGTGGGAAACCTCCCAGATAACTCTGTTTCCCAGGGAAACAGCTGCCTGACTTTAGGGCTGATCCTAAAACTGCAGCCTTAGAGACTTGTGCAAACACAGGCTGCACATGGTCCCGTGCCTAGAAGAGGGCACCTCTCATATCCCTCCATCCCCAAGGAGGACTAAACAGAAGAGGAGAAAAGCCTGGCCAGCTTTCCCCTAGGTCAGCATGTGGGTGGGGAGGCCTGTGAAGGTCCTATAGAATTAAACCACTTTATCCTTCTGCTCAACCCAGTTGTTTACACGTATTCACACTAGTCAGCTGGGAGAGAGGCCAAGCAATACAGTGCCTGGGAACCCCTCACACTACACCTTGTAGGTAGCTTACTCTAAGGTGCAGGAAATCAGGCCCTGCCAGCAGGAGTGCAGAGATCAGAAAAGCAATTTTTTAAAAGGAGCAAGTCAGGTTGTGTTTCGCTCAAGTGTCTGTGAATTAAACTTTTTCTTAAATTCCTGAAAGAGTGGATAATCAAGATAAAGGAGCCCTTTATCTTCCCAGGACACAGCACCCCTTAGGTACGAACTCGAAGGAGCTTAAAGAACAGCGCCAACAATCCGAAGCAGAGCCAGCGAGGGCGGAGCGCTGGCCAGGGCCCCGCGCCGCCCCGGAGAAGGATGGTGGGGCGACCAGAGCCTCACCGGCATGCGGGGCCAGCTCACCATGGCTAGTTCTCGGGTGCCTCGGAGCGGGGACGCGCGGGCGAGCCCGGCCGCCGGGCGAGGGGCGACGGGGCCGCAGGTGACCCACCTGCCATGGGCTCGCCCGCAGCCCTCCCGCCCGCAGCACTGACCCGCCCTCGCCCAGAGCCCAGGCCCTGTGGCCGCCGGGCCGCGCCCCGCCCCGCCGCTCACCCGAGAAGTTGTCGAAGGCGGTGGGGATGTACTCGGTGGGGTAGCCGTTGGTGGTGTAGCTCACCACCAGGCTGGTCTTGCCCACCGCGCCGTCTCCGACCAGCACGCATTTGACGCTACGCCCCTCGGCGCCGCCCGCACGCCCCCGGCCCCCCGGCGCCCCGGGCCCGCGCGCCCCGCGCCCCCCGCGTTCCCGGCGAGGCGGCACAGGCGGCGCGGGCAGAGGCTCGCAGCGGCCGGGCAGCGCGGGCCGCCCCTGCTGCGGGGCCATCGCGCGGCCGCGGGGCGAGGACCAGCTGCCGGGGCGGACAAAGGCGCGAGGTCGCCGCTGCGCGGGGCGGCTCTGCCCGCGGCCGCGAGGTGGCCGAGCCTGCTCCGCCCGGCTTCCCGGCGACGCGGGCGGGCGGGGAAAGAGGCGGGTCTGGCGGCGCCGTCCCCGCGCCGAGGCCACAGCGCCCCCGCCTGCGCGCCGCGCCCCTGCACCGCGCCGCCTCCCGCGAGCTGGCCGCTCGCCCAGCGCGCCGCGCGCTGCGGAGCCCGCTGGAGACCCGAGCTCCTTCTGCTTCCCGGCTGGCTGGCCGTGTTTTTGGCCCCTGCTCCCACGACTTGCCGCTGCGTCCTCCTTCCCTGTTTCCCCTATACCCCTACTCTGCCCCCTGACCCTGTCTTCCCTCCTTCCTCCCCTGCATCCCTCCTCCACTCTTTTCGTGCTTCCCACATTCTCTCTCCCTTTTCCCCCTTTCCTCTGCTACCTCTGCTCCCCTTGCCCCTGCTCCCCAGCTTCTCTCTCCTCGCCCTCTTTCCGGACCCTCCTTATCCCCTGCTCCTCTTGCAGTGCTCCAGCAAGTTTCTCTGTAGTCCCAATTTCTTCATTTACTTAAATGTAATTTGCTGAAATTAGTATTATCTAGAAGGAAAAAAGCTTTCTTTGCCTTTCCTCTCTCTGCACTCATGCATGTGATCACAGCAGGACTGCACTTTGGGCCTGGTCGTCCTTCTGAGGCTCCTGGCTTGCCTGTGGGGTGAGAAGAACCACCTGCTGTGAACATGGTGAAGACAGGAGCCAATAAACACTGAGCCTTTACTATGCGCCAGATTCTGCTATGCTCACTCTGTCTGAAGGGATTCCTCTAACCCTAGAATTACCTGTACCCACCTTACAGACAGGAAAACCTGGGGTATAGTGATGTTCAGCAATCTGTTTCCAAAACAAGCTAGGGAGCAACAGACCAGGATCCAGACCAGAAGAGAGCTTCCCAGCACCTTGTTTGCAGTGTGAACAGTGGAAACCAGACTCCAGAGTTCAGAATGCTCAGAAGTAGCAGTGCAGGGCAGATACGCCAAGAGGCCGGAGCCCAAATCCTGGGCTGCCCGCTGCCAGCTGCCAGAAGCACCCTCCATGGCCGGGTGAAAGCAGCTGTGAAACACCAGAACAGGGTTTCCAGGATGCTGCCGGGTTTCTGTTCTCGCGATTAAAAGGCTCAGGGGTCACTCCAGTTAAACTGGGAGTTAAACTGGGCTAACTGAGCTGCGCAAAATAACCACACAAGAGACACAAATACCTTATTCTTTGGGGTCGCTGTGATGGCTCCTCTGAGAGCGTGGGCGGACCCTTTTATTGAGGAGAAGCTATTCAAATGAGGCAAGGGGTCAGGTTTCAGGGGGCTGAGTCTATCTTCATGATGTCCACTGTCAGCAGGTTGACTGACACCTGGGTAGGCCACACCCAAGGGCACAGTAAGAGAAGGGGACACACACAAGGCACTTCCATGGAAGATTCTATCCTAAACAGGGCAAGGGGTTATATTACAAAGGAACAGGTGAGCATAGCTTCACCCATGGGGCTGTAGCAAGACACACCCATGCCCGAGACACCAACTCTCAAACCCAAGAAGGGTGGGGAAAGCTCTGCCACATTTCTGTGACTGAGCGCCTCAGCACCCAGCCAAGGAGTGTGACTCAGTCACGTGCAAGGTTGGTCTCTAACGGTCTCCCACAGGATGCAAATGCAGGACCCTCGGACTTGGCCTGCAGTGACCTGGAGAGCCCAGTGGAACCAAAGTCTCCCCTGAGCAGAATGTGAAGAACAGGGCCTCCTCAACCTCTGCAAGAAGACAGGGGTGCCACCTACAGTTGCAGGAAAGGCCAAAATAAGGAGAGGCTGGAAAGTCCAAGGTTGCAGCCAATCTGTCCTCCATTGCCCCAACCCTAAATGGCTTAAATGCCTTCTCTAAGGCCCAGCAGGAGGCCCAGATTGACCATGCCTGTCTTCTTGACTGTCAACCTACAATAAAGCTCTTGTGCCATAGTATTGACTTCTCTGCACATCCACCAAGGGCTCTCTGGGATGTCTGGCGGTGTTGGCAGTGTGGGTCCTGGGGCCCTTCTGCGTGGTGGCAGATCCTGTGTTCTTGCAGGTGGTGACTATGTCACCTGAGACCTGTGAGCACAGGCACCTGTACCTGCACAAAGGCATGTAATAGCAGTTCAGCAAGGGTACAAAGCTGCACAACTAAAGAGTAAACAGATGCATTAATTGTGGAATATGTCATGCTGCTCAGTCAAAAATGGACAAGAATGAGTTGCACACAGCAAGGGATGAAGAAGCCAAGCATGCAGGAATATCATCATTGGACTTGATGTATGAGGTCTGGAAAGGGGAGGAACCCCCAGGCTGTGTGTCCACACGGTCAGGAAGGGGGGAGGAGCTGGGTGCCTTGTCTCTGGAGTCCTTCTCTCCATCTGAGTGGAGAGTTCATGATCCGTCTTTACAGCATTATAATCAGGCCATGTTGGTTTTATTCACTTTCATGAATTATACTTTATTTCAGAATGGTCAAAAATATTTAAGCCTATAAATCCTACTAAATAGGACTTGTGGTTATTTGCACTCCAAAGAGCTGTGTGCCTGAGCCCAGCACAGGGCTAAACACATATTGTACCCTCCTTAGGTTAGATAACACTCTAATTGTAAAGCTGGAATGTGATCTGAGTGCCCAGATCCTGATGATTCAAAACTTCCAGGAGCACCTCGCAAAGCACAGCCACTCACTGTGTACATCTTTGCCATTTCCTTTTAATATGAGTATCATCTTCCACAAGGGCTGTTAGAGGTGTTCTGATATTTTTAACCAACTGAACTGGTTCCACAGGATTATTACAGAAGAGGTAAATGGTACATAACTTCCGGGAGAAAATGGAAACTTGGGGAGGGCCTAGAGGGACAGCAGGTGCCTTGGCCTGGGGAGGACAGGCTCTGCTCACATGGGGACAGGCTGAACCACACTGTACACCTTTCCTCTCGGTCTTACTTCATTTTCCTCTTTAAATCACTGCTCTGGTTCCTCCTGGTTGCTGACACTCTGCTGGTTCCCTTGGTGAGAAGGGCCATTTCCCACCCCCTCCACACTGCCTCAGCGTCTGGCAGCCACCCAGCCATCTGACCCTCCACAGAAGAACCTTCCTCCCAGGCTTTCCCAAGAACTGACAGCCTTCCAACTCCCCTCCCAAACACACCACAGGAACTCCCAGGCCAAGCATTTCCCAGCTGCCTGAGTCCTCCCTGATGATAAGAACTCTTTAGAAACTCCCCTTGGTGTTGCGAAACCTCGACCTCCCCTAGTTTCACAGCTACCCTGAAGATAAGAACAGCCATGTCATCTTTTCCCAGCAGCCTACTTGCTGGTCAGCAGTTCTGCAACAATGAATTGTCCTCCCCCGTGCAGAACCCGCAGCTCTCTCTCCGCTCTTCCCAATTCTGCAGTGGAGGATGGGAGGGGAGAAAGAAAGGTGCCTTCCTAAAGGATCCAGTGGCTCTCTAAAGTCACTGCTGGGACTGCAGTAACAATGTAAGAAAGTCACTGCTGGGACTGCAGAAACAATGTAAGAACTGGAAAGAAAGGGCAGATTCTCGAATGCCATGCAGACCTGCCACATCACTCCTTGTGGAGAGAGCAGAATTTTCTATACAATTTCCAATCATGCCTGATTGCTCTGTCGCATGCATCCTTAAAGGATGCACTAGAAGGCAGATACTCTCTTATATGTTGAATCATGGAAGAAATGCAATTTCAGAGATGAAGGGTGCAGCTCTTGGCTGTCTTGTTGAGTGGAGGAATCCGACTCATGAACTCAGGTTGACGAGGTGTGTGCAAGACCTGTGAGCACAGATGTGTCAGAGCAGGCTGTGACTTCAAGTTCACAAGTCCAAGAAGAAAAGAGATGCCTGTAAAGCAAGTGAAACATCAGACATCACATGGAGAGGCCCAAGAGGGGCAAAGCATGGAAGAAAATTGAAGTCACCTGAGGACAGATTTCTGCATGGGTGTGAAGGACTTGCCCTGGCACAGGTGGCCAGACCATTCACTGCAATCCAGGGCCAAAAAAGACCCTCCTCTCCCATCTACCAGATGGTCCTTAATCTCCAGCAAATTATAGCCATGCTGATTGAACTCGCTGCCCCGTACTTTTTGCGGTTCATCCCCATGAAATCTACACATGTGCTGTTGCCTCCCCAGCTTTGTCCATCAGTACATGAGGAATTTCCCAATTTGACCAGCAGGAGGCAGAAGCAGGACTGAGTTTGGAGGCCAGTCTGGCCAAACCCTGCAACCTCCCATCTAAGGCCAAGCCCACACAAGGTAGCAGAGCTACAGAGTGAGCAGGTTCTGCAACAATAGGTGGCCTTGAGCCTTTTGCAGCTTGTTCACAGCCAGAGCAGAGCAGTGCTGGGGTCTCAGCCCCTCCAGGGGCACAGGTCACAACGAGCTCAGGCCTCTAGCACAGGATGAAGGAAACAGGCCCCACAGTCTTCAACACCCAGGAGAGTGAGGTCAATAATAAAGCCTAGGAAGGAGGGCAGAAGAGAGAACCCACAATGCTGGGCTCTTTAACAGCTGGGTAGAAAGTGTCCTCCTGTTAGCTGCTTCTTATGTGTCTGAGGTAGCAAGAGGTTTGGAGAGATGCCGGGGCAAAGAAGAAGCAGGATGTCTGTCGTGGCCCATTGAAACATCATCTTCACACATGTGCCTGCTTCTATACGTGAAGCTACTCTTGTCTATTCACTAAATCAGTTCCACAAACCTTAATTGAGTCTCTTTGTTAACCTAAGGACTTGTAAAATGATCAACTATGTTGTTTATTTTTTTTTTCTGTGATTAAAAAATTCTACTAATTTGGTGACTTCCTAGAGTTACAGCTGGGAGGTCTGTGTGTGGTGGAAGCAGGCAGAGCTCCCTGGTGGTGCTCCCTCAGTGGTGCTCCCACCCCCAG